GCATTCGTTGCCTTGAAGAAGTTGATGCTTTTGAAGAACGACATAAAACCTGGGGAATTGACTACATTTTTGAAAAATTGTATCTCCTTACAGAAAAGTAAAAAACAGCTGGTGATGATGGTGCAGGCCTTTAATCCCAGCACTCGGGAGGCAGGGGCAGGTGGATCTCTGTGAATTCAAGGCCAGCCTGGTCTACATAGTGAGTTTTCAGGAAACTCTGTCTTGGAAAACAAAACAAAATAAAAGCAGTCAATCTCTGCATGAATTTTTGAAAAATTAAAAATTATGTTAAGGCTTGAAAATATAAGCACTTGGATTTTTCTTATGCAAAATACAGATCTTTGTGTATGACTTTTTAAATGAAATCACACACTAAAATGTTTTAAGTCAATCCTTTAAAGAATGTATAATTGGTACCAAAATATTAAATACTGTGTGTCTTTTTAATAGTCAACATGTATTTCTTCTATAACTAAAAAACAAAAATACAATGTTTATTACTTTAAACAATAAATGAAAAATATACATGAAAATTACAATCACTGAGGAAATGTAAGATTTTAACAGGATTTGGGATAGTCTAAATTATTTTATTAAAAATTAACTTCATATAAATCCTAATCTGCTTAGCTCTTGGGACCTCATCTTCACATGTCTCTCCCCTTGTATAATTTTATACTTAACAGAATCAAGAAACAAATTTTTTTTTTAACTAACCTATATGGGAAAAGTTTTTCCCCAAACTGTAAGAATAAAACCTTTAAAAACTACTTTTTCTGAGTTTGGCAACTTTGGTTTCTTTTAATTTAATCTTACTTATATGAGTGGCTTGAGGCTGTTCATTGTGGAAACTCAGGTTCAGAATTTGTCAGTTTTTATTAACAATCACATTTTGTTAAATCAGACATCAATCTTCATCTCCATACCTCCCAACATCTAAGTAGTTTATATTTTAACTCATGTTAATAGAGTAATGTGTGTTTTTAAAGATACATTACTGAATATATATATACATACATACATATATATATATATATATATAAATGGGAATATATATGGGACTATTTGTGTTTGCACTAAGGTAATGGTTGTTCCTGGGAATACCATTAATATTGATGAAAGCCATGTATATTCTCCATAGAAATTATCTTTTAAAAATTAAACTTGGGACTAGAGAGAAGGCTTAGTGGTTAAGAGTACTTACTGTTGTTCCAGAGGACGGGGTTTGGTTCCCAGCATTCATATGGCAGTTCACTTGTATCTATTACTATCTCCAGGAGATACAACACTCTCTTCTGGCCATGGTGGGTATCAGGCATGCACGCAGTGCAATATATACATGCAGTCAAAACACTCGACACATAAAAATATAGATTTTAAATACTAATCTTTGTGTAAACCTCATTGATGCTCAGTGTTGATCTCATGTCCTCCGACAGCATTGAGGATGCTGTCCTTGGATATCTTCTGCCATTGACCTATTCAAATATCCTGATCAGATTACTTCTCTGAAACCTGCCTCAGTCTACAGAGTGACCTTTGTAGCCAATTGAATGAACAATGTTGGACCACTGAGTTGAGCCAATCCAATTCTCTTTAGAGATTTTTTTTTTTTTTTTTAGCTCAGAGCTGGAAAGACAAGTTAGGTGCTTGGGTAGAGCCAGGATCTCTCTAGTTGCCATGGCCCACCCCAGCGCTGAGAAGTGGAGACACAAACAGTAGAAAGGCCACGAGTGTTCCGGTCTCCCACTTTACCCTTCCAGAAGCCCCGCTGCCCAGCCTAAGGAAGAACGTCTCGTGTTGTATGATAGACTCCTGTGTTCATGCAAGAGCTAGAGTTCGTTTCCATAACTCAAACCCACAGTCTTAAATGACACAAATGAGATAGCTTTATGTGGTCAATCTTTTATGTAAAATATGTCCTCACTGGGGGCGTTCTGAATTTAAAAGCCCTGAGATTGACACTCCATATACACTATGTTACAGGGGTTGAATTATTCTTGGGGTTTTCCAAAAGTTCCTTTTTATCTAATTTTGTAGTTTAAACAATAGACTGGCTGAGTCTCTGTGCCCTGCATGGTGGTTTGTGAACTGCCCGCTCTGCACGCATGAATACACAAACAGAGACTTAACAGTAACTACAAATGGGAGGAGACAAGAAAAGTGTGTCCTGGTCAGTCTGTGTGGTTGAACGATCAAGAACACACAAAGGAATATAACCAAAGCTTCCACTGGCTGCCCTGTGATTAGTTCTGGAAAGGATTTGTGGTCAGGACCACAGAAGGTGGCCTGGAAAACATTTGTTCATGAGAGCGCCAAATGCTGGGGAACTCATGGTTGAATGGAAACGCAGCCCACAGGGACATTAGCTTGCCCACTCACTGCAATAGTGCAGTCTTGGTTGTTGTTTTATTTCCTAAAGGAAGCAATTTCCAGTGTGTGTTTTATGCATGCTCACAGTCTGAACACTTGGTCTCCAGCTGTTGGCACTGTTTTGGGAGGCTCTGGAACCTTTAAGAGGTGGGGCTAGCTGAAAGAAGTAGGTCACTAGGGGCAGGTTTTGACGGTTTATAGCCAGGCCTGGTTCTGGCCCAAGTTCTCTGTTTCCTTTTTGTGCCAGTGAACAGTCAGAGGCAGGACATTCCAGCTGCCTCCATCCAAGCCCTCCACCATGTCTTCCCCACCTTAATGGACTGTAGCTCCTCAAACCACGACCCCAAACAGGCCCTCCCTCCCTTCCTTAAGTTGTTTGTGTCTAGTGTTTGGTCACAGCAATAAGAAAAGTAACTAGGGCGTGTATGTTTGTTTATGTGTGTATGTGTGTGTACCAAGAACTTTCAAAGAAAGACTTCTGAGTGCTTTTATGAAGCTTGTCTTTAACTCATATGGCTCTGGGTTTCTACCATGTGTCATCTAATGTGTTTATTCCTTGCAAACAGATTGCAAATCCACCAGAGTGGCTGAGTTAATGATGGGGATGAGAGAGGACTCCTATGTGAGCCTTCAGCATGGTCACTCTGTTTTTAGTAAACAGTCCACACTTCCCAACTTTGTATAGTTTTAATGTATAAAATTTAAAAATCTGCCTGAAAGTCTGCCGAGTGGTGAAGAACAGTGGGGAGGATAACCACAGGAGGCAGCATTTTAAATAAGAGGTGAGATTTATTTATATGTCAATGCTAAGAGGGGTTCGGTGTACCGCTCTTCCAGAGGACCCGAGTTCAGTTTTTAGCACCGATGTTGGGCAGTCTACAAAGCAAGATCCAGGACAGGCACCAAAACTACACAGAGAAACCATGTCTTGAAACACACACACACACACACACACACACACACACACACACACACAAAGACTAACCTCTACACTATGTTTCCTGATTATCCTATATAGTTTATAATAATAGCTTTCAAAAACTAGAACTTCATCCTACATTTCCAAAAG